ACCGAATTCTGAGCTTGAACAGTAAATGGTTCTATCTTGGTAAATAATCCTGCACAGTGATCATTCTTGTAATTTTTTTTAAAAAAAATATTATTTCAGAAAAAAATTCCAAATTCTTCTCTACCATTTTCATGTTCGTATGTCAACAGTAACACCTGTCTCAGCTCCGAGAAATGGCAATCTAAAACCACTAGAAAATGTAAACAACTAGAAATAATAATAATTTTGTGGAGGTTTAAAAATCAATAAAAATGAATATTGTGGCGGTTTAAAACCGCCAGAAAATGATGAACAAGTCAAACAGAGCTGCAATTTTGTGGCGGTTTCAGACCGCCAGAAACTGTCAAACATATCAAACCAAAATGCATTTTGTGGCCGTTTCAAACCGCTAGAAAGAGATTGAATTTTCTGGCGCACAAAACCTGCGTTTACAAAATATCCGCCACAAATAGTTTTTGGCGACCGTAGATCCGGCGGTTATTAATGACGCCGGTAATGCAATTTGTGGCGGTTTCTAACCGCCATAAACTACCAAAATAACCGCCACAAATCACACATTTTTTTGTAGTGATTATTATAGTAATATTTTTTAATAGCCAATTTTCATTTATTATTGTTTATAATATGAGAAGTAATTTACTAAAATGAAAAAATGTATGTTTTAGTCTTGAAATTGTATTATATTTTTAATATTTTGTTTTTATTAATTAACTATGTATCTAATATTGTATGGAGAAGTGTAGAAAAATAAAATTTAACTATGAGTTTTTAATTGATTAATGCATTCATTGATGTAAATGAGTCGGAAAGATTAGAAAAGTATATTAATAAATATTTTTTTGCTTCTATTTGCCATATATTTACAGGTTTAATGAAACTAATGTATTTAGAATATAAGAACGGAGGCAATATTTTTTTCAGTGAAATTTTGTTCCTTTTTATTTGTCATTTGTAAAACTTAAGATTTCATTTCATATTTCTTTGTCAAATATACCCTTACATTAATTATTTTACACATTTGTCATAAAATTGGGCAATAAATGATTTAAAATATCAAAAAGTTTAATGCAGAAAGAGAATGGAAGAAATTGATAGTCCAATATAACTTTAATGCAGTAATAAGAGAGTGAAAGCAATTGATAATCCAGAAGTACATTTTAATGCAGAAAGAGAGTGAAATAAATTGATAGTGAAATACTTTATTACAGAAAGAGAATTTGAAGTAGCGACGGTGAAAATACTCAATTGACAAGGGTATAATAAAAAGAAATTTACAAATTTATTAAAGATGAAACTACTTATTGATTTCATTAGTTGGAGTACCTACTACCTAAACCTTTAATAATCATTATTTTTTATAATATGAGAAGTAATTTACACATAAATAAATGGTTAATTTTGTTATTGAAATTATATTTTATTTTTTATATTTCATTTTTTAATTCTATATTCATAGAGTTAAGGAGAAGTTAACCGATGAGTTAATGTTTTTTTGTAATACAACGTCTAAGAAATAAAAAAGTCAAAAAAATTACATCCTTAAAAACAAAGTTCTCACTCTATCAGCTGTAAGAAGATAACTTATAGTTGTAGGGACCGACTCTACCACTACCAATTCATTTCCACGATGAGGTCTCAATTAGGGGTGTGCAAAAAATCCAAATTGATCTGAAGCGATCCATAACCGATCTGATCTATATTGAAAAATCCGATCTATTTTTAAAAAAAATTCGAACTGAACCACTTTATAAAACCGGTTCAGTTATCCGATCCATTTTTACAAAGTAGATCGGTTCGGTTTGGTTTGGTTTTTTTAAAAAAACCGATCCATATATGAGTAAAAAGTAGATAATGGCACTGCGCCGAACCGATCCAATTTCAAAAAAATTGATCATATCTTAAAAAAATCAAATCGATCCACCTTATAAAACATAGACCGATTAACCGATCCACTTTTATAAAACGGTTCGGTTCGGTTTAGATCGATTTTTTGAAAAAACTGATCCATGAACACCCCTAATCCCAATTTTAAAAGGAAATAAGCACATTAATTCCCTTCACATGGCAAACTCTCAAACGCCAAGGCCTCTAAAAGAAATATTTAATCTTAGCTACAAGCACCGAATATTTATGATAAGGGTCAATCACACTCAAGATCAAGTTAACTGCAAAGAGCGAGTCAGAAACACAGATAACATCCTTAATATTTATGGGGGTGTAAAGATGTAGAATTAATGATTTATAAATTTAATTCGATACTCTGTATAAATGATTTATAAATTTAATTAACAAGAAATCTCATATTACATCTTCAGTGAAAACCTTTTAGGTCACCCTGAGAATTATAATTAGCAAAGTGGAATTTTTTTTTTCAAAGCATTAATCGATGTTCATGGGCTGGAAATTAATATTAGAAAAATATATTGACTATATTAATAAATATTTAACTGCTGCTATTTTTATGTATATATTTAATATGTGCAATAAAATTAATGTAATAAGAATGTATTGCTTAATTTTTATATACTTTTTAATTTATATATCAAATTATTTTGCAATATACATGAGTAAAAATAAATTAATTTATTATAAATTTTAAAAAAATATATCATACTTCTCTTCTGTTCTTTTTAAGTGTCACATTTTAAGGAAAATTTTATTCCTTTTTTATTTACCATTCTTAAAGCTTAAGGTTTCATTAAATATTCTCTTATCAAATATACTGTAAAAAAGTTAGAATATATAATGGGTGTATTAATTAAAAGGGCGATTAGAAGATATATTATTAACTTAAAAAAATTATCTCAAGGAGACTTTTCCTTCTATAGAAATCAATCCCTGATTTGTTTTCAAATACAAAATATATCTTTTAAATTTCCGTAAATGCTAATTTCGAAAACAATCTTTTTAAATTTTACAAATGCTTATTTTGAAAACAATTGTTCACAAAATCTTTAATTTCAAAACAGTTTTGAAAAACTAACTCAACCCCGAGGGAATCAATTTATTTTTGAAGGAATCAAATTATTTTTTTGTGGAAATCAATTCCTTTGAGAAGAAATCGGTTACTTTGGAAAAGTTACACTCAATGAGCCACCCGTAAACAGATTGTATTACACACACACACATATATATATATATATATATATATATATATAGATAAATGCTTATGAATATTTTATTAAATAATGAGTTATTATGAGATTATATTGTGATGTGTTTGTATGTACTAAACTTTGAAGAGGACTCGATATATATATATATATATATATAGGTATCGAGTCCTCTTCAAAGTTTAATCTTCTTTTGTTGTCTTCATCAAAACTCCAACACTTCTTGAAACATTTTTATTGACTATCAACTTTTTTATCTTGTTTTATTAAATGTGGTCTTCAATCTCTCCAGAAAGGTCATGCTTCACCAAGTGTGGTCTTCAATTTCTCCTTTATGATGATGACAAATCCTTTTTGTTTGTGTTCTTGAGCATTCATTATTCCCTTATACTTCAGGCCACTTTTTGTTGAATTTAGTTGTTAAGCTAAGTTAGGAGCTCCCCAAGCCTTTTGTTAATATCTTGAAGCTCCCCCTGCATTGTTGTGGTGCTTGTCTTCTCCCTTTTTGAAATTCTCCCTCAATTTTTATGACTTGCAAACAAACAAGAACACACCTTTTCTCCACTTTTTTACATTATCAAAAAGAATAATAAGAGCAAATTGCCATATAAAAAAGTAAGGTCATTCTCATCAAATAATAATCATAGAGATAGAAACAATAATTTAATAAAAATTAGTTAGTGGGTTTAAAGAGTATTTAGAATTGAACTCACAATTTAACAAATAAAGAACGTCAACTTAACATCATAAAACACAATAGATGTAAAGATAACACAGTTTTATTGATAAGAAAAAATTAACACATCATGCACAATTATGGGTCCCATAAACATCAAAATCCAAAATAACAAAAAAAACCGTAAAATCATACCTAATTAAACTAGATCCTAGTCATCAACTCGTCATCAGAATATTTTGCTTGGATAAAATGTGTTTGAAAGGGGAAGACTCCTTTAAAGAATCAATCATTGCTTTAGTGTTTGGCTGTATTTTAGCTCAATGCAAAGAAAAATGCATCAAAAGGTTTTTCTTCTCAAGTTATAACAAATACTTAAGTTTGATTAACACATTGGTCTCCACCGCCGGACTCAAAACCTTAAGGTGATGGATCTTATATACTACTATTTTTTAAATGTTACTTTGCCCAACACAATTTTCATTTGTCGAATCATCTTAGTTTTGAAGTTGGGTCAGAGAATATTCAACCTAAATCAAATTTCATCTTTTCATCTTTCTTCACTAAAAGTTTTACGTCTCTATCTACTCTACCTTGTAGACATATAAATCTATAATGAAGTTTTTCTTTGGGTGTTTCATTCTTGAAAAGTTTTGCTGTGAGGAGATGATGTTTGGTAATTCAATCTCATTGAAAAAGTTGTATCTTAACTATTATGAATAAAAGAGTGCAGATAAACACCCTTTCTCTCGAGTAAATTTGGTTGCAAGAAACTAAAGTTTGCAACTCTTTGGTTGTAACATGTTTAACTTGGTACTAACACATGTTTATATATATTTTGATCAGGGTAGAAAAAGTATGTTTCCATGTCTTAAGTAGGATTTATCGAACTAAAATTCTGCTATTGTATGTATACTTATACAACATATGTGAGATTTTTTTTTTTCTCTACATTTTTTCCATCACAAGAAATATATATATATATATATATATAGATATAGATATACACATATATATATATATATATTAGGTGTTTGCTTATGATGGAAAAAAAAAAGATTTTGCAAAAAGAATCTTACCTTTATTGTATAAGAAGACAACCACAAAAATTTAGTTTGACAAATCATATAGAAAAACTTAGACATGGTTTTTTCACGTTGATCAAAATATATATTCACACGTGTTTGTACAAAGTTAAACACGTTATCAACCAATGAGTTGCAAACTTTAGTTTATTGCATCCAACTATACTAAAAAAAAAAAGGTGTCCATTTGAACTCTTTTATCATGACAGTTAAGATGTAACTTATTTAGTGAAGACACTTATATTTTAAATGAGGTTGAATCAATAAGTTGTACCTCCTTATAGTAAAGTTCCTCAATAATGAACAATAAAAGAAAAAGCCTCATCATAGATTCATCTTCTACAAAATAAAGTAGATAAAGATGAAAACAGGGAAAAAGAAAAGATGAAATTTGATATATGGATTGAATATTCTCTAACCCAACTACAGAACCAAGATAGCTCGACAAGTGAAAATTGGAAAAAAAAATAGAATCTAAAAATTAGTAGAAAATAAGGTCCATTAATTACATTAAGGTTTTAGGCCATGACGGTCGGGACCAATGTGCTAATCAAGTCTAAATTGAGGGATTTGTTATAGCTATAGAGGAAAAACCTTTTGATGCATTTTGCTTTGCATTGAAATAAGATATTGCTAACAACAAAAGAAAAGGTTGATTTGGAGAAACATGACCCATTGCGCAAAATAAAGAATTAAGAGTGAAATTCAAAACACTATCCGCATAGTGGAGACAACATCTAGTATCAACAATTTCTCCTGTTGGGATCAAGAAAATGATGACATATTATATCATTATAGGTAGGTTTCCAATCCTATCTATTTGTTCTGGCCTATTTTTAGTTGAAACAAACTTGTATGAATTTGTTATTACTGCTGTTGCTAAGCTAATTAACTAGTATGAATTTTATAATTTTCTAAATACATAGGCTTTATAAAAGGTTTTGATATAGTTTATTTAGTAAGAAAACATAGAACAAACATATATATATATTTGCCAAAAGCTTGCTTCAACAAAAATAAGGCCATGAAAAGTTAATAAGATTGGCATTTACATGTTGATGTAATTTGCTACATATTTTCATTCATCCATGAGCTTACTTTTTCGGCAGTTAACAAACAACTTTATGTTATTTTTTCCCTTTTGAGTATCAAGTTAATGTGCTTACTATTTGAACATCTGCATATTTTCCCAATGGGAAAGATTCTCCGGATTCACCTATTAAGATACCAAAACAATTACAAGAAAGGGACGATAAGAACCATAGTTCAAAAGATGCAAAAGCTAAGCCAGTTATTAAATTCAGACTCAACTAAAAAGGCATGATCATGTTTATTTACTTGAACAAGACCTTTCCAACTTTACTACTTAAAGATCTGCAGATAGCATTAGTAATATCCAGTAAACATGTTCCATATTTTTTTAAAAAATAGTTGCTTTATCTTTTAACATAAGAAAAGCACATGCTTTCCTATATAACTAAAGTGTCCATCAAAAGAACACAACAGGATCAAACCATAAAATCAAGTGCAATTTGCTATGATCAAACTCGTTCAACAATAAATCCATGGTAAGGTCCAATTGTGTGTCACTAATAAGGTCAAGTGCATCCTCGTACAAAATCATGAAAGTACCTCAGGAAGAGAATGAATCCAAGGCCATTGCCTCATTTCTCGGCAAAATCTATCATATTCTTCGGTCTAGCACGTTTTTTTGTCGTAGTTACAAGGAAAGGTCTCCCCCATTTATGTATGTCACCTTAATTACACCAAAGAATAACAATTATTTAGCAACAAGCAGTACCCAAAACGAAGATGAAAATCGATAAGGGTTTAGGGAAAATAACATAAAATCATAAATATAAGAACAATTTTGTAAACCTCAGAGAATTGTTGAGAAGTAGGGTGGTAGCCTGGCGCCATTGCAGATCTAGACGCACCTCTGAGACATCTGGAAGGTGTTGATATGGTGGAGGGAGAGTATGAATCCTGAGATATTAAGAAACTCTTATAAAGAGACAAGTTTGACTATGCATTCCTATGGTTTTAAGTTTTAACATTACCGTGGGCTCTTAACCACTGTTTTTTCACAAAACCCTAATAAATGTTAATATTTAATATGGTTTTTAAAATCTTAGTTAATGTTCCAGGGTTAATTAATAGAACCTTATTAAAATTGGAAAAACGACAATAACGGTCAAACATTCATTTATAGTTTTACATGCATAATTGTTATGTGTTTTTTTTTCTTCATAAATATGATTTATGCAATGTCTTAAAATTAATAAGATTAATTTTTATTAGTTAAATATTATTTTAATATATATAAGAATCAAGTTTGTGACCATCAAGTTGACCCCTTGTGTTATAGTTCTTACAACTACACTAGATCACGATATTTTATTTTATTATTTAAGATTTAGAATATATTGCTTCATTTTTTATTTTTATGTAAATCTTTTTTAATTTATATCTCTAATTCTTTTGCAATATATATATATATATATATATATATATATATAGAGAGAGAGAGAGAGAGAGAGAGAAAGATGAGGGATTAGATGACTTTAAAAGTAACTCTTTCTTAAATTATTCCACTGAATAACTTATGATATATATTAAATTTCAATGATCCAATCATTAAATTAAAGTTCTTGATACATAGATCAAGGCTATAAATTTTTAAAAATTTTAAAAATTATTTAATACTTCATTTTGTTAATTCAAATTAATGGTAATTATAAAAGTATTTTATACGTTAATTTGAATTTATATAACAAAGTATTATATATTTTTTTAAAATTTATATATTTGATCTATACATTAAAAACTTTTAATTTAATTATTGGATTATTAAAATTTAATATACATAATAAGTTATTGAGTGAAATAACGTAAGTAAGAATCAATCTTGAAGTCATTTGATCCATTCTCATATATATGTGTGTGTGTGAGAGAGAAAGTAAACATGAATTATTTTTTACATGAAACTTATTTTATTTAAAATATAAAAAATAATATATTTCTTATGATACATGTAACGACCCAACTGGTCACTACACACCGCACAGCACACTAGAAACACCACACAGAAAGGAACAAGTGTATACATATAGGGTCTAAAATATATACATATACATGATCAAAGTCTGGATAGAGTTAAAGTGTACAAAATACAACAAAGGCTACTACACTAAGTAGCTAAACATCAAAAGATCCTAGAAGATCAACTCCGTCTACCAACTACAGACTCACCATCAGCCACCAACCTATCACTGCTCTGCTCCCATACATAGTATGATCATCGCAGTCCAAACATCATGGAGACAACAAAGGCCAAGCTAGTGAAAAGAAATCAACATACATATGTGAAATATGAAGGATAAACAACTACAGCTATCAGAACATCGATTCAGCTTAAAATACACCACAACATTCAGCAATATCAGCACCGCAAAGCGGCAATATCAGCACTGCATAGCAGCAATAACAGCACCACACTAGTGGCTATAACAACACTGCATAGCGGCAATAACAACACCGCCTTAGCGGCTATAACAGCACCACAATAGTGGTTAATAACAGCACCGACATAGCGGCTAGAAACAGCACCACAATAGTGGCCATACACAACATACAGATCAGCATTATACAGCACAGCCAAACAGCTCACAGCACAGCACAACAAATCAGCATACAACATGGCTAAGTAGGATTCGGCACAGCTTACTACTCACAACTTAGCTAATCATTCTAGAGCACATCAATATTATAAATCAGCATTTAAAATCATCAATAACAGCACAACTCAGCACAGCAATATACATCTATTACGGCATAACATCATCTTTCAGCATTAACATCTAGTCAGCATAGCGCATTCACCAATTTCAGCTTAGTTCGACATAAAACAACATCTATCAACAATTTCAGCAAGGTTTGACAACTATCAACATCTAAATCATCATCATTCATACGCACCCGGCGCACTTATGGTCGCGCTCGGCGTGGCACAACCAGAGAGCACCAGGGGCCATCGCGCCCGGCGTAACAGTGCTCGCGCCCGGCGTAACCCAACCAGAGAACCCAAGGCTCTCACGCGCCTGGCGCAATTCAACTTAATTTGCGCCCAGCGCATGCCTAGGAAGAGACTCCAAGGAGTCTCACGCGCCCGTGTGGCCTACCCCGCGCCCAGCATGGGGAAGGCAGAGACCTACCAAGGTCTCACGCCCAGCGCAATTCATATTGCGCCCAGCGCCCTCTTGGTAGAGACTCCCAAGGAGCCTCCGCGCCCAGCGCGACAATGGTGGCGCCCAGCGCAACACCAGAAAACCCAAAACATGGCACAACTGATATCGTGCCCAGCGCAGTCCAAGTCACGCCCGACGTGGGCCATCCAGAGGCTCCCATTCTCAAGCTTGCCCGACGCAACCACCTTGCGCCCGGCGGGCTTTCCTAAATGGAGCCCCCCTGGTGGTCACGCGCCCGACACGAAGAACAGCGCCCAGCGCGAGGAACCGCGCTCAGCGCGAGGTTCAGCAGCAACACTCCATTTTCAAAAAACTTAACCAAATCTTGCAAAAATAGCCAGAAAACCAACATGCAAACCATCCAAAAATTCCCTCTTTCATCAAACATCAATAAAAACGCCTCATTTCCAACATGCAAACACAAATCATCAAAAACCCCAAAATTTCTTCAAAACCCCAAAAACCCCAAAACCCCATTTTTCAGCAATCTCAACTCGAAAACCATCAATCATCAAACAACAAATGAGTTTCCGGACTCATTTACAATCAAACACAGCGAGACTCTAGCTTCCCTTGCCTCAGTTCAAGAACTCCGAGCTCCGGGAAGAAGAAAACGAAAGAGAAGAAGAGGAAGAGAACTCCGCACACGGTTAGCTACGAATGGCTTCAACCTTGCAAGGAAGGGTCTCCAAGATCACTCACGGCTTCAGCTAGAGAGAAGGGAATTGAACAAGGTTAAGGCTTGAGAGGAAAAGGATCAACCACCAAGTGTAAAAGAGAGTGCAAGTGAGAGTGGGTGCGGGTCCGGGGAAAAGAAAAGAAAAGGGGTCTCACAATACATTATTTTACTATTATTTTTGTAATAACCAATTAATTTCCATTTATTATGTTTATAATATGAGATGTAATCACTAAAATGAATAAATATCTAATTTAGTTTTGAAATTGTATTTTATTTTTTAATATTTTTTTATTTATTAACTATGTATCTAATGTTGTATAGAGAAGTATAGAAAAATAGAATTTAATTATGAGCATTTAATTTTTTTTTATGCATTCATTAATGTACATGAGTCGGAAAGATTAGAAAAATATATAGATATATTAATAAATATTTATTTTTTCTGTTCTTTATTATAAGAAAAAAAAATATTTTATGTATATTAAAAAAATTAATTATCTACATTAAATTTTACTAATTTTATAATATTTTTTTAAAATTATCATTATTATATTGTCAAAAAAAGAAAGAGTGATATTTTAGGAAAAATATCCTTAAATAAGGTAGAATTAGTCAAAATTTGCTTATATTTAAAAACTAAAAATAATGTATTTTTCTTACTTATAATAGAGAATAAAAAAGAGTATTTACTTATTTTAATCACATATATTTAATAGCTTAATGAAATTAATGTATTTAGAATATATTTTCAATTTTTATTTATTTATTTTTTTCGTAACTTATATTTCAAATACTAATTTAATATACTCTCTCTATTCCTATTTAAGTATTATATTTTTAATAAATATTTTTTTCCTTTTTATTTGTTATTTGTAAAGCTTAAAATTTGTTCAATATTTCTTTTTCAAATATATCATTACTTTATTAATAATTTTGCACATCTATCATAAAATTGGATGATGATTTTAAAAAAAAAAACTTTTTTGTCATAAAATTTTTTATATAAATAAAATAAGTATTTATTATTATTATTATTATTATTATTATCATTATTATTTATGTGTTTGTCTGTCTATTTTTTTAAATAAAAATTTTTCTACTTTTTTTTAAATAATTCTCTTCTACAGCTTTAAAAAAAATAGCTTTTTTAAAATTATTTAAAAATATTTCTTATTGAGTTTAAACAAATAGAAGGGGAAAAAAAAAAGGTAATTAAAAATATCAATGGTGAATTGGGTCAAAAGTACTTTATTATTAAAAGAGAATAGAAGAAATTAATAGTCTAAAAGTACTTTAATGATAAAAGAGAGTTGAAGAAATTGATAGTGCAAAATAACTTTAATGTTGAAAGAGGGTGAAAGAAATTGATACTCAAAAAAAAAAAAAAATTTAATGTAGAAAGAGAGTGAAATCAATTTACAGACAATGAATGCTTTATTATAGAAAAAGAGTTTGAAGTAGTAACTAGCAAGATGGTGAAAATACTCAACTGACAAGGGAGTAATGAGAAAAGAATTGCAAATTTATAAAAAAAAAATTTAAATTAAATTAAATATTTTTAATTATTGTATAATGAGTTATTTTTTATTTTGGTTCATGTAATTTTTTATTTTTTTAAAATTAAAATTATTATTTTTAGTCTTTAGTAATCAAATTTAACTAATTTTTATGTTTATCATATGGTTGGGTTAAGGATACTTACAATTGTATTTGATATTATGATAGTATGCAATATCTTTAAAAAAAATTATAAATTATTGAAACAAATATTATTATCTACTTTAAAATAAACATTAAGAATAAAAAATAGTGATTTTAAATTTTAGAGAGATAAAAATTAAAGAAAAATATTTTATAGGGATTAACATAAAAAAATCACTTTTTAAAGACTAAATAAATGATTTCAAATTTTAAAAGGATAAATAACAAAGAAAAAAATTATAAGAACAAAAATTAAAAGATGTTCATTTTGCATAGACAAAAAATATATTTGAGACAAAATGAAAATAGTCATTGATTTCATTGGTTGGATAGAACCTAAACCTTAAATGACTATTATT